CGGCCCCGCCGGCTGCCAGGTAAGGGCCCCGTCCCCGCTCTCCTCACCCGTTTTGGGTGAGGCTGGGCACATCCAAACTGCCCTTCGCTGAGGTTTTTGCCTACTTTTGTAAGTCACCGTTGCAGCATCTATCATAGAATGAGCGAGTTCTGGGACTAGCTGGTCAGGGGTGATTAAAAGGATAGTGCTTCAGAACATAATGAGGTGGGGATTGGTCTCTACCCCCAGGTAGCTAGCGACAGGGTGGGAGGAAATGGGCTTAAACTGCACCAGGGGAGGTTGTGATGGGATGTTAGGACGAATTTCTTTCCTGCAAAAGTAGTGAGGGATTGGAGCAGGCTGCCCAGGGCAGTGGGCTCCCATCACTGGGAAGGTTCAAAAGAAAACATAGATATGGCCCTTGGGGACATGGTTTAATGGTGATGGTAGTGCTGAGTTCATGGTTGGCCTTACAGGTTTTTTGCAACCTTTATTATTCTATAATGTGGTTGTGGTGTAGAGGACTGTCAGATTTTGATCATACCAGTGTCAGTTCAGTAGCTGCAGTGGAGAAAAGCTTGTGTATGCTTGCAGTCTTTTATGTTCTGTGTTGGAGTTGGGCAAAGCTTCCCTTGTTGTTCCTCAGTTGGTGTTTGCTCTTCCTGAAAGACGCTGGGGTATGTGCAGATAAAAAATGATGAAATAGGTTTGAAAGCTGTGGAGATGTGGTGCTGAGGGACGTGGCTTGGTGGTGACCTGGCAGTGCTGGGGGAGTGGTTGGAATTGATGATCTTAAAGGTCTCTTTCAACTTAATTCTGTGACTGTTGGAAGCCAGAACTACTCTGTAGTGCCAGGTGAGACTTTACTGAGCTTTCATTGTCAGACTTCTCTGGCAGTGTAGCTTTGACTACTTTTCATTAAAAGCTTGTGGGAGCAATGCTGAGAAATTGAGAAACAGGTTTTTTAGTTTAGTTTTCTAGATGTTTTTGAGATCTCTACTCAGTGTCTCAATACAGCTTGATAGATTGCTATTAAGATTGCTTAGTGCTGAATGAAAATAACCTCTCCTGAGTGCTCTAGAGCAGGTGATGAATGGATGGGGAGCTGTGGCCTCAGCCCTGATAAATCCATCACATTCAGAGCAGCCCCGGGTGTGCCTTGGTGCCCAGAAGTCACTCCTTTCTCTTACAGCATCAGCAGAAGCTTGAACAACGGATAAACAGATGTTAATTCTTCTCTCCCAGGAAGAAGGGGAAGGCATCTGAACACAAAGACCAGCTCTCCAGGCTGAAGGAGAAGGACCCAGAGTTCTACAAGTTCCTGGAGGAGAACGATCGCACGCTGCTGAACTTCGATGCCTCCGACAGCTCTGATGAGGAGGGGGCCTTGCACATCCCCCCAGATACACTGGAGGTACTAGGCCCTGCTTTGGAGTGCTGAAACCAATGGTTTTACCTGCTTACAGGTGAAGATTTGAGTTTCACTGCCTAGGCCTGAGTATGTTTGGGCTTGGAGTGGCCCAGCTGGCTGGGGATCAGCTTCCCCAGAGATCATCTGCAGGGGTACAGGCTTCTCCTCCAGAAGGCAGCTGTGGGTTTGAACTGAGCATGAGGAGTTTGTTAAAGGCTGTGAACACAGAGCCTTAGAGTCTGTTTGCTTTGTGGCTTTGGTTGTGTGTCACCTTCCCCAATGAGAATGTTTTGTGTCAAGTGGTAAATGATCTTAAGGGTCTTTTCCAATTGGAATGAGTCTATGACATGGGTTCTGCTTGATATTTTATGGTCTCTAACTTTGTTTTAATGTAGCAAAGCAGCAGGGCCTGAGTAGCTTTTTCTTTTGGTTTGTAATACCTCTAATTTCATTACTGCTGTACACAAAATGCTGATAACAGCATTAACAACATCACTGCTGCCTGCCTTCCCCTTTAGCAGCTACTCAGCAAAAGAGGTGGGGCCAGAAAAGCATATAAGCCTTTTTATCCATCTTGGTACTGACTTCTGTAGGAAGCAAGTGATGAAGATGATGATGATGATGAAGAAGAACATGAAAAAGTCAAACGGAAGAGAGTTTCTCTCATCCCTGTGAGCTTGAAAATGGTTGAAGAATGGAAAAAAGCTGCAGAGGTGAGCAGGAAGCTGGAAGACAAGGCACTTGAGCATTCTCCTTAAACATTCTTTCACCCATGTCACTGCCTCTACAAGGCCAACTTCCTATTTGTTCATCTTATACAAAAATCTACAGAGAAGGTGTATGTCCTACATAGGAGGTCATGCTCCTAGAGCTCTCTTTACTTCAGCATGACTTGTCTTTGCAGTTTTCTTGCACTGCAAGAGTAGAGTGCTTGCCCTCCATCTGAGGGAGAAGCCAGAGAAATTTGGGCTCAGAAGAGGTCAGAATGGTGAACTTCTGGCTTTTCACCCTTGTGCTAAGCATTGGGCCTTTGACAGCTCTGAGAATGTTTTTAGTCACAGTTTGAGTAGTGATGAAATGATTTGCTCCTTCTAAGAGGGGGAGGGAAAGGGCAAATTGGATAGTTGCTTGCAGCTGATGGATTGTTCCTCAGCCCCCAATCACTTCAAAGGCCTGAAAGTCTATTTTAGCACAAGTGGAGGCCAGCAGTCATTACACTGCCTTGACATTTTTCCTTTGTGTTATAGGATAGATCTATTTTTGCAATCAAAACTTAAAATGAATTCCACTCCTGCCCCAGTAAAGTGCTCTGCAGTTTCAGAATATTGCTTCTGTTTCCTCAACAGTCCTTTTCTTCTCTCTCCAGAGAAGGCCAACTCCAAAACTTTTCCATGAAATCACTCAAGCCTTTAAAGCAGCTGTAGCAACCACTAAAGGAGATACTGGTGGGGCTGATCCCAGCAAGTTTCAAGTCACTGATGCTGCAGGTGAGTTATCACCACACTGCTGCTGTGGGAGAAGGGAAGATGGCTGGTAGGGAAGGGATAGCTGTTGGAGGAGTGGGGATAAGTACTGCCTGGAGTTTACTTACACTTTTGTAGGCTTCATTTCACTTAAGTAGCTTATCTTCCTCCTGGGGGTGAGCCTGTGCAGTGGGATCTCCTCTGGTGTCCCACGGTGTGAGTTACCTCTTGGTGGATGTGCCTGGAGCTGCTGGGCTTGCAGACTGCTGAGGAAAAACCCCACAGTTCACCAGACTTTGAGATCAGAGAAGCTGAAGCTGTGTGCTGTTTATACACTTGTAGCATGGATTTTTTTGAACAGCCTTTGCTGCAGCTTCTTGCTGATCCCTCTTAGAACTAATCCTACGAGACTGTTTTAAGGCTTCTTACCAAATACCTCTCTATAACCTAACAACAGTCCAGAGTGCAGTTGCACTGCTGAGTTCACATTCCCCTAGCCAGGACCCCTCAAATACTGCCAGTGTAGATCTCCTTCCTTCCAGGATTAGCCTGCTTGCAGAGCAAACCTCTGTCTCCAGCCTTAGCCACCTTTTGCCTAAGCTCCAGGTTTTGCACAGTCCTGTTTTAGACTTGGAACAGCATGACTGAGTGAGAAAGACCTTTGTCAGTGTCTCAGATGGGCTGCAGCTCACATCTTTTTACCCCTAAATTAGTAGGTGCTTTCTCACTGTTTTGTCAGCTCTGTTATTGGTGCCATCTGGAACTGGCACTGTGGGGTGGGACAGCTCAAACCCACATGTTCTGTGTAATCTCTGCCCAGCATGGAGCTGTTTGTCTTTCATAGCTTTAGGCAAAATTTGATTCTTTAATATTAAGACTATATGTAAATCTCACACGTCCATTTTTGTATGTTTTTTTATTAATAAGTGCTTTTAATTCTCATTATGGTTTGGAGGAGATCAGTGGTATTAGACACTCCTAGTTGTGGGTCAGGCTGATTTTGTACTTGATGTTGTTTACTCAGAGAGCAAAGAGATGGCCCCTGGGCCAGAAGGCTGTCACTTGTAACCTTGCAGTTTAGATTAAACAATTCTAGGCTAAGACAAACTGATGTTTTCCAGAAGCTTGTTCCACACCATAATTCTGCTGTGTGAATTACTGGCTTCAGTTCCTTGGGGAGCTGTTTTCAGATGAGCTGACAAACCAGGAATATATGGAAAATCCTTGACAAAAATGCTTTACTGACTTTTTAACCAGTGTTCAATGCCTTGGTGTCCTTCTGTGTCCGGGACCTCTTCCGCTGCCTGCAGAAGCTGCTTCTTCTGAAACCTCCAAAAAACAAACTCAAGTAAGTCTGAGGAGATCTGGGAGCTGCAGGTGAGAGAAAGCTGGTTGGGCTTTTTCAGAACTGCAGCCTGGCTGTGAAGCTGGATAAAGATTGCAGCTCTTCCCAAACACCAGCAGAGTTGCCTGATTCTGTTCGGTCATCTTATCCAGGTTCTTCCTTTCTGTGCATCCTCTGTGGTAATTAGACTCCAGCCCCTCCAGAGGACGTGTGGCTTCCACAGAAAGCAGTCTGGAATTGTGCATGCTTGCACTCAGGACACTTTCATGTGTCAGAAGAGACTTTATGGCCATGAGCTTGCTGTGAGTGGCTGCAGAATGCCTGGCTGGAAGATAACATCACTGCAAGAGATTGAAAATTGTTACTTCTTGCTTTGCAAGTGGTTGTTCTTGCTCACTGGCAGTATTGAGGAAGTGAACTCACTGTTCTTGGTGCTGCTGAAATCCATTTGGTGGAGTGTTTTTTCAAAGCTAAACCCAACTCTTGCTCGTTTCCAGAATGGTTCTCCCTTCCACCAGCCCACTTTGGAGCAAGCTGAGACTGGACATAAAGGTGTACCTCAGCTGTACCATACAGGTAAGAGATCTCAGTGTGCTGGTGGTACTGGGGTCAGTCTGTGCATTGCTGGGCTTCTGTTCCAGGATATTTTGGAATGAGAGGGATTTCTGCATCTGTAAATGCCACTGCTAAAAGGAGAGCTAGACAGTCAAGAAGATAATTAACAAATCAGGTAGCAATGTAGCCTGAGGTGCTTTTCCCTTTGAAAAGACAGCTACTCCAGTTTGAGGATGACTCTCTGATCATCACCACATTAGGAAGCTAGGATGTTAGTTTCTGTCCATTCTTCTGTGGTGGGGAGTAAATAAGACTTTCTGGCTGAGACTGCAGTAGGCAGAGGCAATCTCCCTGAGCTTTGAAGCCTTGGGCATCTGAGATTTGTGTGTGTGTGTCCTTCCAGTTCCCTGCCTTGTTTTGGAAGTATTTGGTCTATCTAAATTTGGAGGTCTATAGGATGATTGTGTCAAAATAGGTAGCCTGTAAAGAAGGGCTGGGTTAACATTCTGGCAGTTTTTTTGTCCTGTATGACAAATTAATATTTAGTGGGTTTTGAAGTATTTTGTAGGGCTGTGCCTCTGCATTTTGTGTCTTTTAATTCAATGTTTGGCACTATTATCTTGTCACTTCTTGTGGTGACCCACATAACATCTTAAGTGTTTATTACAGCTGAGATCTCCAGGTAGGATCATGCTCCATCCCTTTAGGATATCCCACCCATCCAAGGTTGCTGATGTCTGGAGTTTCAGAGACAATTCATGGATTATTTCTGAATGAAATTCCTTCCCCCAGTTAATATTTTTTGAGATTGCTTCATCATGCCTCCCCAAATTTGGAATATTAAAAACAAAACAACACCATTGGAATGGTCATTCTTCAGAAGCTGAGGGAAGGGAACATAAGGAAAGAGAAGGAAAGTGCTGATATCTCTGAGCTGCAGGCTGGCAGGATGACTTAGCAGAAAGAGCAGTTTGATCAGTAGAGCTTTTTTTCCCTCAAGTTGTGGTGCCTCTCGCCAGCAGCAGAAGATTGCAGCAGCAGAGGAGAAGCTGGCAGTGCAGTCCCAGTGAAGTCATCCCTGGGCCTGTGCTTGCTGCTGAGTGCCTTCAGTCCCAGGCTTCCCTACAGGGTTTTTCAGTAGTCTCTGGACAATATTTTCTCCTTTCCTTTTGGTGTCTGAAGGACTTTTGCAAAGCAGCCCTGCTCAGTCCACAGTCTCTGCAGTGCAAGGAGCAGAATGAGAAGGAAACTTAAAAGTGGGAAAAAATGGCTCTGCTTCCAGCAGCTGGAATTGCAGGGAAGAGGGGGCACTGCATCAGGCAGAACCCCTCTCCAGCAGAGCTGAACAACCTGGAAGTACAAAGATATTGTTTGTCTAACCTTTCCCTTGGGCTAGAGTTAACCCCTTGATAACCAGTAGCATTCCAGCTTCCCATTAAAGAAATCCTAGTGAAACCCAGTAAGTTATGAGGGAGCTCAGATGTTTTGTTTCCAAGCCTTGTGTAGACTGAGGGTGTCTCCACTGTGCTTTGCCCATTTGTAGTGAGGTGACAGAGGCATTGGTGTCATGCTGTCCATAAGATCTTTTCAGCTGTATAGCAGCTTAGCTTTTGCAGCTTGCAGAGCGAGGTCTTATGTGCTGAGCCCAGGTGCTATTAGCCATCCTGGTCCAGTAGCCTGAGCTCACATTTGCCAGATGAAGTACTTCCAGCAGTTTTTTTAACCCACCATGTGTCCATTTCTTCCCTCATACAGCATTTTTGGTTTTGTTGAAGCTTCCTCCTAGGGAAGAAATCCTTTGGTAACTCAGAAATACCTGGAAACAGCAAAATACAGATGCTTAATGGTTCAGGAAGAAGGGATGAGGGCTACACGCTAAATGGGGTCATGTTTTCTTTCCCTTTTGTAGCTCCTGTCTTGTTTAACAGAAGCCTCAGTCGGTGCAGCAGTCCTCCAGCACGTCAGTTCCATAGTGCCTTATTATTTGTCCTTCCCAAAGCAGTGCCGTGCACTTCTCAAGGTAAGGTGACATGCTGTGTGCCTCTTGGATCTGCAGGGCTTTATTTACCCCTTCAGAGGAGCCTCTTGTGGGTTTTTGGGCTGGATCCCTTGACAGTTCAGTCTCTTGTACTCCTCTTCCCTTTTCTTTTGGTCCTGGAAAAGCTGCCTGCTCCTCTTACAAGGCTTCGAGTGGGCGTGTAGCTCCTGCTAATCCCCATGCAAAGTGGCACGGAGGTGTTTTGGGGAAGTGTTTGCTTCCTCAGCACAGATGGAGTAATTGCTGCCTGCTGCTGAGGCCGTGTGTACAGCTCTGATAGTATTTCACTCTGGAGAGCTGGGGGTGGAATATTTTTGCAGAAACTTAGTCACAACTGCTGAGCACTTAAGAACAACAAAGGAGGCGTGGAAGAGCGAGAGAGGGCAACAGGGTGACATCTAAATGAGAAGCTGCAACACTAACATTTAAATGAGGCTGGGAGCCCTTTGGGAGGGGTGGCTGGTACACAGTGATGGGAGGCTGGTACACCTCCTGTCTGCAGGTGTAGCAGTCTGCTGGCTGCTAGAATAGGGGATTTTGAGCAGCTTTTTTTCAGCCATGCAGCTGGAATCTATCAAGAGATTATAGTTTTGGACAGTTTCCTTTATTGATTGTGGAAACAGCAGCCTTGCCTTTTGTGTGGTCTCACAGCTAGAGCATGAGGACAGAATGGCTGGCAGAGCTGTTGTGAGTGATGCTGTGACAGCACAGCCTGCAGGCTGTGTCATCTTCCTCCTCGCTTGTTCTGTGGTGTGGAGGAGGGCAGCTCAGGCCTGTCTGTAACAAGGAAGAGGCTCTTGGTCCCTTCACTTATCTGTCTCTCTTTATTTTCCTTTTCAGCAAGCAATTACTTTGTGGAGCACGGGTGAGGAAACAGTGAGAGTGTTGGCCTTCCTTGTGCTGAACAAGATCTGCCGCTACAAGAAGGAGATGTACTTAAGTCCCTTGCTCAAGGTAGGGCTGGTGCCTGCTGTGCTCTGCAGCTTTTCTTTGTCCTGTTATATGTGAAGACCTTAGAGCATGAGGTGGGGCAGGGGCTTGAGATGATGCTGGCTACCTCCAGAAAACGAAGCAGGGAGGAAGTTCTATGTTAAATTTAGGTGATATCCTGCTTCTGCTACTGCCCTCCCTGCTGGAGGCACACAGGGTCTTGGCAGGGAAGGCTTCTGGCCATCATCTGTCTACTGATGAGGACCCATCTTCCAAATTTTTAGAGGGCTTTGCTCAAGTCTTGACACACTACTCAGTGCTACTGATCTGCTCTGATCTTCCAGCTAATAGCTGAGCTTCCCAAGCGTGGTTTGCTGAGGAACCACTGTTAAAGAAAGAACTGTGACCAACCTTAAGAATCACACAATCACAGAATGTTGAGGGTTGGAAGGGACCTTAAAAAGTCATCTAGTCCAGCCCCCCTGCCAGAGCAGGACCACCTAGAGCAATTCATGCAGGAATGTGTCCAGGCAGGTTTTAAATGTCCCCAGAGGAGGAGACTGCAATCCTGGGCAGCCTTTTCCAGTGCTGTATGGCTCAAAGCCACCCCACAGCTCCCTCTTCTTGAGGTGAAGCTGTGGTGGAGGCATCTCCAAGCTCCATGCTAAACTGTCTCCCATCTCCCCAAAAGAAGGAGCAGGATGGATTATTATATTTTCATACCCTCTTGAAGTGACTTGTCTTACAAAAGGAGCCCATCACTCCTGATTTGGACATCCCTGGGTGGAGAAAGTAAACGAAAGCAGGTTTTTCACTCTAAGCAATTGCCCCTCCACCTCTTTTCCTGCACAGCAAATGTACATTGCCTTCGTGAAGAACTCCAGGTTCACCTCTCCCAACGTCCTGCCCCTGATCAGCTTCATGCAGCGCACGCTGACGGAGATGTACGCCCTGGACCCCCCCACCTCCTACCAGCACTCCTTCCTCTACATCCGCCAGCTGGCCATCCACCTCCGCAGCGCCATGACCCTGCGCAAGAAGGTGGGTCCCCTCCAGCCTGGGAGCAGCCCCTTCAGGCTCTTGGTAGTCTCTTTAAAGTGTCACTTGTGTCTGACCCGTTTCTCGACACGCCGAGGAGTGTTTTTACCAGGGGCGTGGAGTTCCAGAGGTTACCTCCTAGCTGCCTGGGTTTGGGATTTCAGCAAGGAAGGAGTAACACGGCTGCAGGATGGGAGTCACTTTTATCTCAGCTTGCAAGAGTTTGTGGTGTCCTTCCTGTCTCCTGCCTTGGGCACCCCTTTTTCTGCTCTGTGAAGCTGCTGTTTGCAGCCTGTCGCGAAACCTCGAGGTAAAGAAGATTAGGAACCACCCTGGTGTGTTCATCTTTTGTTTTCTTTTTAATTGAAGAAAGCAGCTCAGACCTTTTGTTAGCAGCCCTGGTTTCAGCCATCTCCAGTCTGACCTCAGAAAATCTGAGTCAGATTGCTAATCCTGGGTTTATTTGTGTTTAGCAAAACAGGCCTCTGTGGACTAATGTTCAGCTGCTCCCAAACATGGCAGGATTGGTGACCAGTTAAATCTCCTGGCTGTTCAGACATGGGGATAAAGGAGCAGAGATAAATGAAGTCTGGGCTGCATATGCCCTAATTGGATTGCATTGGCTTCTTACACCCTCAGTTTTGTTCCAGACAAGAGCTAAATCCACTCGATTTCACAGCTGGAGAGGGCTGTAGGAACAACAGCACAACCAAAATGTATAAATCCAAGCAATAAGCCAATTAATTTAAATTAAGCAGGGGGAGGTGATTACAAGAGCAGATTGCTTATCTGCTCTGGGCAAAAGAAGCTGAGAACAGAGCTTCTTGGCACATCTTGGTGACCTGGTGAGAGCTGGGAGAGCTCTACCACTTCCAGCTGCAGCTTAAGGTCCCTACTGGAAGGTTTGGTCCAGTGGCTCCAGCTGAGGGCTTCTGTCCTTCTTTCAAGACTTAACACATCTTGCATCATCCATGGAGAAGAGGAGATGACCTGGGCCTTGAAAGTCTGTCTGAAACAAACCCAAGCTGGAGCTGAGGCACCTTAAGTGCAGCCTCCTAGGTTCTCACTGTAATTCTGGGCAACACATGGGCCTGCAGAACTCTTTGGAAGGGGTGTCCTTAAGGGACTCCTGCACTCTTCTGGGCTTTTAGTTAATCTGGCACTATGAGCTGCTTAAGCACGGGACAGGGAGAGTGGGGGCTTGCCCAAACATTCTGGAAAACAATGTGTCTTGGATTGGTGCAGGACTTGACCCACATCCACCTGTGCTACTGAACCAGCCCACGATGCTAATTCAGTGTGTCCCTGTGTGTCAGGCACACTGCTGGCCTCTGGCCTTGCTTTTACTGGTAACCATAAAGACTGGCTGAGAAACAGCTGAAAGTTTCTCAGTTCTGCTGCCTGTCATTTTTACTCTGAAGATGAAAAAAATGAAGCTGTCCTGTGTAATGTCTTTTCCAAAATCAGAGGAGTGCTGGGCTGATCATTTGATCTTTGCTTTGACAGTGAGTGTTTCTAGGAACATCTTTAAAATGAGCACTGGTACTACTGGTGGGAGTTTGGAGTGGTGGTCAGGGGGTTTTGATGAATACAGCTGAGGGATGGAAAGCTCAGGTAGGAAGGACAAGCTGCTAAGTAACCAAAGGAGTTTGAGTGCAGAGAGAAGAAATCCAGATGAATTCAGTTGAATTTCTTGATACCTTCAATCTGTAGTGTAGCTTTACATGCCTTTCCCCTCCTCTGGTCTGCAGAGGTTAGAAGGCACAAGGGTGTCAGAGAGGGGTTCTACTTTCCACTACCTAAATGGAACAGTTAAAGATTTCCTAATGCTTGGCCACATCCCACCATCTGCTGTGAGCTGGGCCATTACATCATTCCCCTCAAATGAGCCATACTTGTGAAGAAAAGCAGTCTGTGAGTTGCTCATTATTTCCTTTGAGGCACTGACTAGCCCCAAATCACAACGTTGCCAATGCAGCATCCAAATTTGCTGGATGGTGGGTCAGCCCCTGGCACCAAAGCAACAGCTAGAATGTTAGTGAGTCCTCTAAACAGTGCACAGTGTCCTCTTGGAGAGTGCTGGGGAAGAGTCCTGTAGAGGAACCAGAGTGAGCTCCTCTGAGATGCTCCATTTTCAAGTTTGTGCCTGTTTTTCCCTTTTCTGCAGGAGAACTTCCAGTCTGTGTACAACTGGCAGTACATCCACTGCCTGTATTTCTGGTGTCGGGTTCTCAGCACAATCTACCCCAGTGAGGTCATGGAGCCATTGATCTACCCTTTGACACAGGTCATCATTGGCTGTATAAAGTAAGTAGGATTTTTCTTCTCCTTTTATCTGTTCTTTCCTCTTGATGTGGCCAGGCAGTTAATACTATGTGATTTGGGTTTAGCCTTGCACTGTAAAGAATCATCTGAGAGCTGCTTTTGATTGAAGTATTCCAGCCAAAGATGTATTGTGAGCACCTGTATCTTTAGGTGGTGAGAAGTTGTGGTGGAGGTTCTTTCCTAGGCCAAATTCTCTGTATAAGAGGAGCTGCACTCTGAAGAGCCTGGGCAGATTATCCTCCCAACTGTATAAGGTGGCAAGGGAAAAATTATTGGCTCACCTCAGGACCTAATGATGCTGAAGTACAGAATCAAGTCCTCCTGTCTAGCTCTGTATATACAGTTAGAAGATGCTTTTTTTTGGTGCATATTTGTTAGGATTTAAAGAACTGGGGCACATTTATTGTTTTTAGTATGTCTCTACTGAGAGTCTCTCTTTTTCCCATCAGTTTATATATGTAATTTTTGTGCTTTGAAATGGTTGCTAATAATGAGCATTGAGGGAATTTCTGAATCTCTGGTGATCTCTGAAATCCTGTTAGCTCTGTTAACCAGATTCTCAGCTTTAAAACACCACCCGCCTGGTCTTGAAAAACTCCCAAGTGGTGATGAAGATAAGGAGATTTAAATGATCCTTAGTGTGCATCCAGCCCTCTTCCCATCCCCCACGTCCACAGGCTGCTTCCCACTGCTGCTGCAGAGCTTTGCTTGTCTTGTGGACTAATCCAGGCAGTTTTCTACCTGTCTGGGCAGATAAATCAACAATCTGGGGCCAAGGAAAGGTGAGTCTTGGCAAAAAGCAGCAAGTAGAATTTGTTGGCATCTGTGATGGACGTGAAGTACAGTTAGGCAAGGCTTTCAAGAGTTGGGAACCTGACAGATGTGTTCTAGGGTGAGGAAAAATACAAAAATTCCTACCCTGGCTTCTTCACTGAGCCAAGCCAGCATCCAGGATACAAGGGGTAGGTAGGTTAGTGGATGTGGGAATGATGTGGCTCTGCAGGCTGCAGTCAATAGCCAGGATCCCTGGTAGCCTTTTCTCAGCATCAGTGGCCATGCTGCCTAGCCCAAGAGTCCTCTGTCTCTGTGCCACATCTCCAGGTGTAGGTCTGTAGCAACAGAGTGTTATGGAAGCACTTGAGTTGTTCCTATTTGAGGGAAGAGGATAAAAGAACCTAGCCCACAGGTCAGGGTTTTTATTCTTCCTTCACACACCACTTTATGCCTTCCTGCAAGGCCCATTCAGGGCTGTGGATCTGCCTGGGGGCTGCTCAGTGCCCACTGCTGCCAGCAGACTTCCTCGTGGAGGAGCTGGACCCCCTCTCTTTGTTCCTCTGGCTGCTCAGCTTCCAGGGGTGTGCGATCAGGGTGCTGTGTAACATCTGGAATGCTTTCATTCCTTCTGCTCCCGAGGTGGTGGTGTGCCCTGGGGCAGATCCAGAGGGGGTGGTGCTGGAGGAGATCCCTCCCCCCAGGCCGGCAGTGCCGGGAGGTGGCGCCGGGCTCCAGCACAAGGGCACTGAGCTGGGTGGGTGTCTGTCTGTCCCAGCTCCTCATGCCACCCTGGCCTCTTACACCAGGGGAAATGGGGGGAAACCACCACCCCTCACAGGCTTTTTGCTCTAAGGAGTGACCAGGGCAGGATTTGAGAAGTGATTACAGAAGGTAACTAGTAGAAGGGAGCTGCCTGCTAAGATCAGAATCAGCTTCTCTCATTTTCTTGCTCCCTCTTCTTGCTTGCCAGCATATAAAATGCATTGAAATGCATTTTTAATAATGCATCTTTCAGAAGTGGACCCCGTGGGTGTCTGGCAGTTACTGTGCTTAAGATGTGGTCCAGGGAGGTGAGATGTGGTCCTGGCTTTGATGATTTCTGACTTTTGGGATGCTGGGAAGAGCCTCGTTGCTGAGCTGGCTCATGGAATTGCCATGTAATAATGAGTGATGCTCTTCTCAGACAGATGAAAATTGCAGTTAATTTGACCAATGGGGCAGTCTTGGAAGTATTGCAGAGATAGTAGAACATGAAGGAGATTATTTCCTCCTTCCCATGTGCTTTGTGCTTTTCTCTGTCTCCACAGTCCATAAGTTCCTCCTTTTGAGCTTGCATTTGTCTATGTTCATGGTTGTTTTTCTTGCAGCAGAGTTGTTGCAGAAGCTCCTGTTCTATGTTACCCCTTTCCCCCTCTATCTCAAAGTGGTTTTCTGCCCATGTCTGCTTGGATTTTTACCTTGCTCCCAGTCTAAGCTATAAAAATGAAGTTTTTCCCTGACTTATAGGGAAATCAAGATTTCTGGTGCCTGTGAAGTTTTTGGGTTCTGGCCTCTCAACACCTACAGGGCAGAAAGCAGGTACAGCCTCCTCCAGGCAGAAGCAAGCACAGCCTTGGTGTCCCTGAGCAACTTTCCCTGGTGACCTCTCCTGGTGGGGTGGAGGTTGATGGTGCAAGAAGGCTTCTCTGTCCTCTCTAGCCAGAGGAAGACTGTAGTCACCTGGGTGTATAGCAGGAGGAGCTGTAGCAAGTAACAATAACCCCTGAAAAGCCTTCAGGCTGTTCTCTACACCACAGCCTGTGCTCTGCCTGCATGGGAGAAGTAGAGCAGGCATTCCAAGAGGTAGTGCTGGTGAGACACTAGAGAGCACTCTGCTGAGATGAGATGTGGGTCAGTTTGGAGCCCCCAGCTGCACCTTGCACTGGGACCCCCCTCAGCAGAGCTGGGGCCTGGCTCTGGTTTGTATTCCCTCTGCATCCAGGCACTGGGACACTGAGCAGGTTGTTGCATCGCCACACGCTCTAAAATTAATGATCTTGGTTTACAGTAAATCTATACCCTTAACAGGTTTATTCCTTGATCAATTAATTCCTGAGAATGGCTTTCGTCATCTCCAGTGGTGCCAGATCAGGGGTGCAAAGTAGATTTATTTCTCTAATGGATCCAATGATAATTATTTTGCTGTTTGGAGGGGGGGATGTGGGTGATTTATGGTACCTACTCAAGCATATTTTTTTTTTTTGTTGTGCTCCCCTGGATTGCTCAGCAAGCTCTTTGGGGAGGGGAGGGGTTCATTTATCAGACTTGAACCTGTTGTCTGGGTGCTGCATGTTTAAAAAAAAAAAAGGAAATAAATTCTTGTTAATGCTGGAGGCATCCATGTCTTCCAGGTACAGCAGGAGAGGTTTCTAGAGCAGTACAGTAACGAGGGCTGGTGTCTTCTAGGGATAGTTCTGCATTCTCTCCTCTGCTGCTGGCTCATGTGGTGCTGGGGGAGCTGACCCTGCTCAGCCCCAGCCTTACAGAGAGATGTGGCTCTGCTTCTTACCCTGAGTGCACAATGATTTGAAGTGTGGGTCAAAGTCTGGCCTCTTCCCCTCCCTGCTGGTCTCTGGCTGTTGAAATGTTGCCTCTCTGAAGGAGATGCTGCTCTGGATTGGGGAGGGATGAAGAGATTTGGCTCTGATAGGTCACTCTCATTCCCACTCTGCCCTTTGTGATGGGCTGGTCATTGCTAGTCCAGCTCCTTCTGCCTCATTGATGTTCCAGTGAGGGAACCAAGGGGGTCACCATTCAGGTGACAGCCTCAATTTTGTGGGTGCAGTCATGCTGGGAGCATGAGGCAAAAGTGTCAAATGTGACTGAACAGCATCAGTGATAAACTTCACCTGCAAAGCTCTTGTCTTCTAGCACCTTCTCCCAGCAAAAACTGGAGACCTGGCACTCTGGTTGCAGGAATTTGTGTATTAGTGTTATAGCTTTAACACGTGAGATTTATTTCCAGCTGTGGGGCAGCTTCAGCAGCTCAGTTTCCTCTGCAGCCCTAAAGCTGCCTTTCTTTTGGAGGGGAGGAAACGCTCAGGGGTGTCACTGGAGGCTGCAGCCACAGTTCCTGTATAAACTTGGCCCTTTCTTCTTTTGTTTCCTCTCTAGGCTGGTACCAACAGCTCGTTTCTACCCCCTGCGCATGCACTGCATCCGTGCCCTGACACTGCTGGCTGAGAGCACCAGGACCTTCATCCCAGTGCTGCCATTTATCC